GTAGTGTTGGGGGAAAAGAACTCTCCCTCCCTCTGCCCCTTGCTAAAAATAACAGATATTTTTTTTTTTCCTAAGGAGGAACACTTATTTGAAAAATGCCATTGTCTTTGAAATTTGCTTCTTTAAAGCTGAACTGTGTTTTAAGAAAAAGTGCATGTGATGGTTATAGTTTTCTGGGTCAACTTCTTATTTTCACTTAGAAAATTTATTTTCAGCTGGAAAAATGTTTTAAATCATAGCTATTAAAAAAAAAAAATTGCTCCTAGCAAGCAAAAATACCGTGGAAAACCTGTAATTTAGACAAGTACCTATATTTTGTTTGCTCTGTGCTGCTGAAACTTAGAATCCTTTCCCATTTACAGTTTACTTTTCACAGAACATTATTAACTTTTTGGCTTCATACATGATCTTCTGTCAGATGCTTTTGATTTGTAATTTAGCAAAGTATAATAAACAGTGCAAAAGTCATGAATTTTCCTCCGCATCCTGAGCTCTGTGGTAGGGAAAATGTGATAAAATGTGTACCTTAAGTCTTGTTTGATGATCTCTCAAAGCAAGTTTGCCTTCTGGAAATAATTTCTGGGGTTGAAGAGCATGGTATTAACAGATTTAATGTGGCTATTCAATGGATTGGTGGAGTACTATGTGAGGTTTAACAAAATGAGAGAGACAAATTGAACATCAACAAAACCTACATCTGTGAAGAATTATAAATTTAATTAGAAAAAAGCCAAACTTAAAAGACCTCATTAACTAATCAGAATTTGATGTTACTGGTTTAAGATTCTTAAATGGATGAATTTTAAGTAGCTTTACTATCATTGTCCTTTTTTTCTCACCATGTACTGTGTAGTGCCCAGATCTGCAATCGGTATTAAAGATGTGAAGGTTATTTACAACAATCAAATTATGCACAGTAATATTTTTGAGATATTAAGGAAAATGTGTATTTAGCATGTAAGGCTTTAGTTTAAGTGGAGCGCAGAGTATGAAGGGTGAGTGACAGCTCCTTTTTTATCTTTTTGATTTTTTTTTTTTTTTTTTAATGTGCTCCTTTGGCTGGCTGGGTAAGGCTGTTGCTTTTTTTTTTTCCACTTTCTGTTTGATACGTCAGTTATGTTGCAGAACTTCAATTATGCAGAAATCTGTTGGCAAAATGGGAGAATGTATGAGAGCAAGCACACGCCACCCAGAAATGTTTTTATTTTATGAACTCGTTGTCATAAGTGTGGTTCCTTACTACATTGTAATTTTGTACTACACATAAAAAACTGAAAGCATGTGAAGTGTAGCATTTTGTAAACTGTAACTAATTTCACTCACATCTGTGTCTAATTGTTGTCTGCATTCGCATTCTTGAGAGTAGATTTATTTTTCCTGGACCACTCTGTGGATTCAGCTGACCAGCCTAAGTGAGGATTAGTTGTTTTAAAGTTATTTTGATTAAAGAGTCATTTTTAAATATGGTAACGTGCAACACATGGTTTAAATAATCCTTGAGACACAAAGGAATATTTTTTAAGTATGTCTAATGAAAATGAAGATTATGGATATGAACTTTCACAAATCATAGAGTGTTAGAGGACATATAAGGTATATATTTAATTCACTATGAATGAGCTGGGGTTTTTTTTTTTCCCTGTCTCCCATGAATCCTTAAATGAAATGTCTCTCACTATACACACATGTGCACATATATGTATGTATTGTAAGTGTAGGAAGTTACTATTTTTAATTTGGGTAAACAAAATAGGATTAATTGTATTTTAGACTTCAGTGAAGTATGAATAATACTGGAGGGCACTTTAGAAAACATCTGTTAATTAAAGCATCTATTTGAAAAATGAAGTTTTTTCCTCTTTTAAAAGCTATGTTTTAAAGAATCCTGTGCAAGAGGGAGTGAAGATAGCTCTGTAAGCAAAGTTAGTTCTCACCTATAATTTGTTCCAGGTGTTTAGAAGTAACAGCAGAAACGTATCCTAAGGCACTCTGCTGCCATTTCTGGCATAAAGAACTGAAAAAAAAACCAACCCCAAAACCCAAAATGCACAGTTTTGAATGTATCTGCTCATCTAATTTGATTTGGCATGCAACTATGTATTGAAAAGCACATTATGCCATACTTTAATACCCAGTTATAAAAAGATTGATGTTTTTCAGCGTGCATCATTGCATGCTTCTTGACATCATTTGTAATGTAGTGCACTGCCTGGCTGCCCCTAGCAGTTGTTTACTCTTGCTAGTAGTAATTCTGTCTGTGATTAAAAATAACAAAAAAAAACCCCAAAACAACCAAACCACAACTACAGACACATAAGTAGGATTTGCTTGGATGATTTTTATGGCACTTAAAATGCCTCATCTCTCTTGTCTTTACTCTGTGATCATTTAAGAGATGTCGGTTCAGGTTGAATGGAAACACACATGAAGGATTCTCAATGCAGACATTAAGAGAATATATGCCTTGCCTGGAGAAACTTCTGTGTGCTTTTAAGCTAACAGTGTCTAGCAGTGTATCTTCACCTGAATTTTATCACCTGCTGACAATGGTTACTGGTTACAGAGAAGAGTTTGTTAGCAGAGCAACGGTGTTTTTCTAATAGGATATGAAAATCTATTACTCACCTGAGTTAGAAAAGGAATCGTTTTATTAAACTGAAAAATTATTTCTGGGTTTCCCAGTGGAACCAGATTTGTTTCTTTGATGAGTGACCTCAGAGGTAAATACTACAGCTTCCTCCTATTTATTTAGCCAGAAGTGTTCTTTTAGGTAATTTTATCAGAAATCTCATTAGGGGCTGGAATTTTTACGAGTGAGACCTTGTGCAATAACATGTGGGGTTTTTATTTTAATTCGCCCTGGTTGGAGATGGGCTCATTTTGGAGATGGTTGTGTAATACTGTTGGTCTTATATTGAAGATCTTTACCCTAGGTAGACTTGCCCCTTGTTGTTCCCCTCCAAAAAAATAGTGTCAGCCTCTCCAGTTTGCTTCGCCCCTCGCCTTTGGGGTGAGCTGACTTGCGGGTTCCCTGCTGCCCAGGCACGGAGGAAGGACTGCAAAGAGCAGAGGAAGAGGAAAGCCAACGTGATGAGGGCAAGAAGCTGTCATGAGTTAAAGGGATGGGGAAGAGAGAGAACCTGGCCGGCAGCAAGAGGGCTGGCAGATGCTGGGGGGCTCAGGCAGGAGGGGCTCCCGCTGCCCTTGGCGGGGCGGCTGCGGGGTTACCTTGTCGGGGTGCGTGGCCGTGCCGATCTGTACTGAGCTGTGCCGTGGGAGGAGTGAGCCCCTCTGCAGCTGTCACGGGCCCCTGATGAATCACTATCCCGTCACTTGGCCGCCGTCCCCCGGCGCGGGGAGGAGGGAGAGAGACCTGCCGGGAAAACAACAGTTGAGCCTTCAATTTAAAGACAATATGCCTTTCACGGGCACCGCGCCTGCCTCCTCTCCTTTTGGGTTTAAAGGACAGAATAGTCATCTGTGGTGATATCCTTTCTTTAAATTAAGGCCTTGTAGTAAAGCAGAGTAATAGAGGCTTCTGTTTGTTTCCCTGGTTTACAGGTGCAGAAGTCCCAAACCAGTTCAGATGTTGCTGTTTCCTCAAGCTGCAGGTAAGGATTTGATTGGACATTGCTATTTTTCCACAAACCTTTTATTTATTTATTTTTAAACTTCAGTTGATAAGTAAATATTTATTCTTGTTTTCTGCATTAAGCAGATGAGTAGGTGCTGGAGCGTCGCTTTTACTCGCTGCAGCCAAGTCTGTAAACCACGAGCACGTACAATTTCACTAAATTGTTTGACTTTATATTAGATACTGGCTTTTCAGACCTATTGCGTTATCATCCTTTTTTATGTGTAGATTGGTTTAGGTAACGAAATATAAAATGAAGGATTTTTGTTTAGAACTTGTGATAAAACCTCAGTTAAAAGGTGAAAACTTCATAGCTGAAGTGACGCTTATGCTTAAGGATATTTATACCATTACCGTGGGAGGAATTTTTTATATAATTTAAATTGTCTTTAAAAGAGCCTAAGCATTTCTTCTAAACAGAAAAATTGCTGTTTCAAATGCCTTGAAGGCACAGTAACCTATGAAGTTTCTGCTGGGAGTAATTACTTAGACTGAGCACATCAAATAACATTATCAAAACTTTTAGATATAAAGAAACAGAAGGATGGGGCACTTCAATCATAAGCGTCCTCAGCATCAACCAAGGGACATGTCACGGTGGTGATGGCCATTGGCCTTTTTATATAAGACTATTAAAAACACAAATTGGAAATATTCAGCTGCTAGTGTGCTGCTTAAACATTTAATTTTTGCTTTGAATCGGAATTGCTCTCTCCTTATTTTGACTAAGTGACAGCTGCTGAGATACGGCAGAGTGCTAAAGCATACTAACGCCTATATGGATTCACTGTATGTTGGTCATATCCCTTTTCAATTGGGCACGCTTTATGTAATCCACAAAGCAAACAAGTGAGCAGACATAATAATGTTTTAATGCTGCATTTGTTTCAACGGAAACAGAGGAACAATTAAGTAGTTTGCCAGAGTAAACACATACATCAGGAATATCTCATTCCCTGTCAGTAGATGATAGGTTTCCACAATTGCTTCAAGTGTTTTATTTGGTTTGGAGGCCCATTATATTGCCACTGAGTGGTAAATCTTGAAAAAGCAGAGTGTTAAGTTGTTGTTAAGAGAATAGATGTCTTTGTATATTGGTGGTTCCGTCTTTGTACATATCTTAAAAATACAAGGTGATATGAATGTTTAAAGTACAGTACTTTGTATCTAAATTTTATTCTGTTAGAAGCTGCAAAAATAATTACAATAGCTGGTCAGTTGTGTGTGGGGCTACAAAATGAGTTTAGTACTGGAAAAGATCAAGTTGAGAGAAGCTGTTTGTTTTTTTACTAATTGTTGTCGGGATGTTGATTAATAGCAGGCTACGTCTCATGCAGGTAATTGCTCTATAATCCATTATGAATACATCACTAAAACTAGTTGCATCTTGTTTTTAGGTCTATGGAAATGCAGGATCTAGCCAGCCCACCTAGCCGACTAAGTGGTAGTAGTGAATCCCCCAGTGGTCCAAAACTTGATAACTCCCATATAAATAATAACTCCATGACACCCAATGGCACAGAAGGTGAGCCACCATTTTTTTAGTGTTTCATAGTTTGTTTTGTCTCCTTGTTGTGTTGGTATTCTTGTAGTCAGGAAGCTATGTAGAGAAAATATTTTACTATTTCAGGCGTTCTGTGTTTATATAATATGCTGTGTAGAGCTGATGTTCAATGTTTATCAGTAGTTACTATTATCGAGTTTCAGTAATAGCTTTCTTTCCAGATTTATGTTCCTTTCATGGAGTTTGGATGGACTGAGCAGGTAGTATGTGTAGAGCTAAAAAAAAATTAAAAAATAAAAAAAACCTGAAAGGGTAGTTTAGTGATGAGAAAAAAAGGTGGTGTTTACAATTGTCATACTAGAAAACAGAGTCTTTCGGTCTTTTTCACTATTTTGGTATTTCTTTATGTTCTTGCTTTTTGCATGCTCCTAAGGCTGTGAAAGTTTTGTCAAGTAGGCTAATAAAACTGAGTGTTGAAATTTCCTCAGGCTAGCTTGCTGCTCTGATGGAGTGACCAAAATTCAAACAGGTGTGGTAATTCAATGGGGTAAACTGATACCTATTTTTCAAGAAGCAGTCAGGCAGTTGATAAGTTATGTTTGTTCTCAGTAGAATACTCACAGAAGAACAACCTAACAGCTTTGCTGGTAATATAATACATATTTAATACATATAATACGTATAATGAAACACAGAAGGGTTTATATAATAAGCAGCAAAAAATACTCTTTCCTGTAACATTTATATGTAGAATAGTAGAAAGGATCATACATAACGTTTGGCTCGCTATGTGAACAGGGATTTTAATGCATTGCTAGAAAAGAGAGTCACACAGCTTCAATACTACTGTTCAGTATAAATGTATAGTTAAACAACTGTTGTAGCAAAGGTAGGCTTTTTTTTTCTAAGAACTGGGACACATTAGTGCTGTCAGACTCTTTAGGATTATGGACATGCATTGCATTCTTCCAGGAAAGGCACATGTCAATCAAACAGATGCCGTTCCCCCTCAATTCCCCAAACATCTCTTATTCATTCTAATTGGAGTCCTCTGTAGTGGGGAGAGTTTATGGGTTATTAGATTAACAAGCATTTGTGCCAGAGTTGTGTACAATTTACTTTTTGCTATTGGTGTAGAAGTATTGCTGCAATCAAATTTTTAGCCGTTTGGGGGAAAAAAAAAAAGTAGCTTTTTAAAGAATAAAGTGCTTCATGTGTTGTTGTAGTTTAAGCAGAAAAATATTTAATGTCCATGGATAAGTCTTCTTCCTTTTAAATACCCAAGCATATTATTAGTTTTTTATATAATATTATCAGGTATATACCAGTTTTGGTACAGGATGAAATTACTTGACCCTTTCAAATTAAAATTCCTCTAGCTCACGAAAGCTTTTGCTGTAAACTTCACCAGCTTTTGTATCTTCTATGTAACTTGAAGGTTCTTTAGTAGCACAAAAATAGGGAGGTTTCCTTGAAACACTGAAAGACACTCGCCACCTGGCTCGACTTTTTGGTCTAAGTAGTTGTTGTGTGCAGGCATACACTCGAAAAAATGGGATACTTAATATTACGTTGTCAGAAGTGAGCTGTATACTATATCTATTCATGCACTGACCTCAGGTAGCAAATAATTTTGGAAATAATATCTCAACTTCTAGGTATGTATCAGAGTTTATTGAAGAAAGTAGATTAAAACACAGTAACTTATTTATCTGACACTAGAATTTTCAAGCTCAGGCTTATTCATTTTGGGCGAATTCTACCCGGAAAGCTATAACTGCAATAACATGTTTACCTTCTGAGATGAAACCAAACGGTTTTCTTTTGTTTGCAATTTCCCCTCAGGTGACATGACCCTCCTCAGCACTGCAGATTGGTTGCTAAGCCCTCGCACACAGACCCCCGCAGGTTTGGGTGGCTGCGGTGGGCGCCGCAGGCGTGGGGGCACTCAGCATGCGTTTTCAGATGTTGTCCAGAAAGCATCCCGAGAAATAGCTTGTGCTTGGCGATTCTGGTCTAAACTTTCTCAATTGAAAATTCCTGTCTCTGATTGCTCTTAAGTGACAAATAAGGAAAAGTTTGTGAAAGAAACTTGATTGAATAACATCTTTCTGAATTAGATGTGTGCCGAGAGACAAAATTTGTGAGCGAAGCAGATGCCTAAGAATCTGAAGGTGGAATTTTTACTGTTAATCTGTTTTATCTTGAGAAAATATTTGGTTTGGGTTCCTTGAGCTGCTAAACAGGCTTAAGAAAAAATGGAGTGAATGAAGCAAGAGTTTATTATTTTTTTTAATGAAGGGTGAAGTAAAATTATTTTTTTCTGAGATTCTTGAAGCAGAATCCTGCTGAGACACAAGTGGCAGATTGTAAGGATGCAGTCGTAAGGGCTTGCCAAGCACCTTCCTTAGAATGCTGCAGTGTGGTTTGCTTGCTTGTTGCATGTGGAGTGGAGATGTGGGTTGCTGAACCTTCACATGTTAAATATAATATGTGAAACCGGCTTCTAATCTACTACACAGTCATTCTCACTAACATGAAAAAGCCCTCCTTTTCTGGCATAAGGGACCTTCATGTGAATGAGAAACAGGGCCTCTAGGTATTTGCATGTTATAAATATCTTGTAAAGATATGTTAAATTTGATTTGTCTATGGGTGTGATTTTGGCAGGTTTCCATGCCCTGAAGTGCAGGATGTGTTCACTAGATGAGGAGGGAAAAAAGAAGAAGAAGAAGAAAAAAAACCTGTCCCAAAGTGAAATGGCCCCATTTCAAACAAATGTTCATTAATTCCTCTAAGGCACATTTTCAGACTTGTCTCTTATTGATGTTGTTCTACAAGAGGATGTGGTTGGAAGATAGCTCACTGTTATTAGCTAATATTTTTAGCTTCACACTTAGTGGTAGATTTTCAAAGAGGTGAATGGGGATTTAATTGTGTGATTGAGTCTGAGTTTGATCTCTGCACGCAGCTTTAGTATAATAACTCTTTGTGTGCTTAATTTCACTTTAGTAGAGCAAAATTACTGTAGTGCCAAGCTGACCAGGTAGTGCTGGCCGAGGACTGCAGCTGAAGAAATCCAGGGGGTTTGCGTGACTGCTGTTTATTTCCTTCTATCTAAACATTTTTAAACAAGTCGGACTGACTACCTCTTGTCTCAGATAGCAATTCCTCTACGGGATTCTTTTAGAGCATAGTGATTTCTGTAGAACAAACACTATCCTTTTAAATTGTAGCAGATCATGAGACAGTCTTTGTAGCTCTGGGTGTATGTGTGATGAGAGGAAAAGTAGCATTTCCTTAACATCTTGGTTTAAAAAAAAATCATAGCTAATAAGAAGTAATTACTTTGCTAGTGTTTGCTTTTTTCTTCCTCTTCTCTGGGCCAGGCAGCATGGTCTTCAAACCGGTGATGGGGAAGTAACAAGGAAATTATAGACCTTGACCAGTCAGAAATTTCCCAGGATCAAACACAGAGTAGTAACACTAAAATGTCTGGCTAAAGGCACTCAGAAGAATCAGTCCTGGAAAGCCAAGATGGTGCTGATTATATAAATACTGCAGTATTTGAGTTTTCCATGGTCTCTAAGTGTTTTTCCACAAATTGCCCTCTGTTGTAGGGAACAGCAGACACTGGACACCATTAAAAATTGGCCCTGTATGGCTTGCCTAAGAAAATCTGTTAACAAAAAAAAAAGAGAGAATCAAAGTAGGGATCAAAATGTTCATTGTCATGCTTTATCTCTAGTCTTCCTTTGTCAGCAAGTTGCTGTGGTGGGCTGGTATTGAAGGAGTTAAAGAAACAATAACAAAAGCCAATAATATTACCATTTGTTAAGTTTTATCAGACAACTAGGAGCTATTCCAACAACAGTGCCCACTTTGGTAGATATACTTTAGAGGGGAAAGGCTGTGAGTAATCAATAAATTCGAAAGGAGTAGTAAAGCTGTTTTCCATAGCAGATGGCTGCATCCAGTTTCTGCCTAGAGTGATTTTACTTTTATCTAAAGAATGTAAATCAGTTCTGATGGGTTACATAGAGTGAGAAACAGAAGCCTATGGCCCATCATGATGATGTTTGCAGCTGGAATGGAAAAGAATAGATGAAGATTGGGAGAAGGAGCTGTGTTCTTCCAAACAACTACACTTCATTCACGTTAGAATATGGAGCTGCTTCTGCCTTCATTTTTGAGTGTTTGGAAGGAAGAAGAGAAGACATTTTCATAGGAAAGGAAAATGGATAACAAATTGAAAATCAGATTTTCAAAGATACTTAGGAATGGATGCTTCAAAGGGAGTTGTACATAAAAATTCCTTTGGAAAAAAAAAAAAGGTTCTTACTCTTTAAGTACCTGCTGCAACATGAGAATGAGATCCCACAGAAAGACATTCAAAGCTCCCCACTACGTGACTATCTGATGGGTGGCCATTAGAAAGGTTGTTTTAAGTTTGTTGAACGTAAATCCATCTTCAGAGTTTCAAAAGGCAGTATGTTTGCTGTCAGGTTGCAATATTATAGAATGGAGAAAAAATTGTTGATGTAGGGATCCATATTTAGACGTCCTGAAATAATAGCCTGGTAAAGGCAAATCTAATTGCACTTCAATAGGGTGTTAGTATCAAGAACTATTGATGCTAACTTCTTTACTTACCCTCAGGAGAGTGCAAGAGGACAGTTATGTGGCCAGAGGCAAAGACTACAGTGCTCCCAGGCCTCAGACTGGCAAAAGCAACCTGTGGGTATGTAGGGCTAATTATCTGGTCTTCAGCCTGCCACCACTTCTGGAGGATGAAAACTAGGTGCACATCACTCTGCCCATTTATGTGAAGGCAAGGGGCTGACTTGGATTCTTTCTTCCTTACTCTTCACCTTTTTCTTCCTGCATGTGTTACATTGGCTTCCTTCCAGACTCTTTGTCTTATCTGTGCTTTTATTCTTCTGCTTGCTTAAGTCTTTCCATCTGTTCTGAGCACATGTAGCGTAACACTCTATTATTCCTCTTTCATAGGTTTTTGGTCAGTGAAATAACTTGTCTACTCTTCTGTTGTCTCAGTCCAGCAAATCCCGTTGCAAGGTCTTGAGGAGGAGACTGACTAATAAATATTTATGTATTTATTGTCTTTTCTGTATGCATATGCATCTGTTTGTCAAAGCTTCACCATTTTGTTTTCTCCCATAACATTTTCCTGAAAGGATGGACCTCGTTTAAGTGAAAAGTCAGTAACAATACTGGTTCCCACAGACATTTGAGGGAAAGCGAATACACTTCTTGTAAACATTTTTGCAGCATCTACTGTGCCAGAGTGTGGATGGAGCACGGTGGTGTGAGAGCACCCTCTGAGTGTGCCTGAGGGTCCTAGAGCCCTGCTGGCACAGTGGCTTTGCACAGGCTGCATGATGTCAAGAACCTGTGAAGATGCTCACTACTTCACCAAAAACAGTAACTGCAATGCATCACACTAGGTGCAGCATCTCTCTAGTGGGACCAGCCAGTTATGCACAGTCTGCATGTGTGCAATCACGTGATTGCACAGCATCAGGTAGAAATATCGTACGCCTGGCCAGTAATACAGACGAGAAGTAAATCCAGTCCCTGCTGTCAGTGTGCACCAGGAGAAACTCCAGGGCACAGGGGCAGAACATCTAAATCTAGTCTTAAGATTACACCTTAATAGACAAGAGGGTGATGTTTGAAGAGCCTTACTGACTTCAGAGACTTGTCACCCTTCAGATGATTTAGCACTTCTGTTTACATCCTATAGTCTTCCAAGGGGTTTTGCTTATCATAAGTAGATGAAAAACCATGAAACTTGGTTACACTTCAGGGTTAGATGGATCATCTGATCTCTGGTCAGTGAGTGAAGTACCTGTGCCACCTGATTTGATGAGACAAACTGAAGTGTTTTCTGCTACTACTGGGTGGAGGGGAATGTAAGCTGGTGTTATCATGCTTTGTCCAGGTGAATTTGCCTTTAGATCTGACAGTCCTGGAGTTCAGACCCTGGACAAAAGTAGATATTATTTCCAACTCATGAAAGATCCCATGCACTTTGTCATTCTACTTGTCTCTTCATGTCTCAGTCTTGCATCTTGTGCACCAAAATGGCAGAGCAGGCTTGACTTCTGCATGATGCTCTCTGTTCATGCGAAGCCCTCTGTGCTCCCAGAAGGTAGCTGAAGACAACCTTATTTGCCATTAATGGCTGAGACTGTGGCATTGTGTAGTCATTCTGTCTGGCTTTGGTTAAGGAGTACAGATGTTTTACATAGATGTAGTGCAAACTGTTATGCATGTGCAGGGGAGTTGCTATGGTCAGATTTCCAATTGAGGATTTAAGAAGGGAAAAAAAACCCAAACAAAATCCCCAAATAGGTCATAACACCTCTAGAAGGATTGTTTCTGGATATATGCTGTGTTTGGACATGAGATACAATCATTCACTATAAATTAACAAGTGAGTGTGAAGGAGTAAGAACATTACTTTGACTCAGATATTCTTATTTCCTAAGTGTAGTGAATGAGACTATTTTAACCCATGGCCGTATTTGTCAGGTAAATATCCAGGTTAAATCTTGATTAGCAGGTACAAATACCATAAAAACTTGTTTCCACCCAGATAGTTTTGAATTTTCTTTCTAATTTTGTACTGTAGTGGTGACACCATTTCTTTGTAAATTTAAGGCTTTTACTACTAGGTGAGCAGGTACAATGATATTAAAACTCTTTCAGTTGTAATTCATAACATCAGAGGAAGATGAGGGTTGTGGCGGAACCGTGCATGCAGTGAAAAGCTAGGTGTTAGCTGCAGCCCAGATACTGCAGAAGTTTTGAAGCCTTGTCACATCAGAGGACGGGAGAGGAGGAAACAGTCTGGGCTTGAACTAGAATGTGCTGCTTTGAGCAGGGACTTTCTCTGAAAACTAACTATAAATTTAGGCTGGAAATTACCTTGTAGTAATTACCTTCTGGTAATTTCCAGTCAGTGAGATTCATGAAGAGTCCTCTGCTTTGAGAAGCAGGAGTCAAGTAAGTTTATCAGGCTTCTTGGTCAGGAACTGATGATTTGATAGTCTAATAAAAAGAGAGAATAATGTCCTGGATAGGCATTAGTATAATTGAGTAACCTGTTTATAAATAACCTGTGACTTTGAGTAACCTGTTTATAATTGCAAGATTCTTCAGTACAAAGAGAGGAGAGTTTGAATAAAACAATGGAAAGTATCATCAGCTTAGATATTCAAGGTGGAATTTTCTCCCCTTGTTAACGACAATTATCTTTGAGCTTTCAGATGAACTTTGGGCTTCTAGTGGGTACAGAAAGAAGATGGTATCAAGCAAAATATTGTATAAATAGTAATGGATACATAAAATACTTAATCAAGATACCTACCTGGTGTTTAGTTGCTAACATTGTTTGAAGATGTCACCTTGAGAAAAACCAAAATAGGGATAGAGGTTGTATTTATACATATGTCTATAAACAAACTAACAACCTCGCTTACTTGAGACTCTTTGTGCCCCATGAACGCTGAGAGCAATCAGCCAGGGATGATTTCATTTTGCCCACTTAATTGTATAATACAAAGAATGTAATGTTATAGTATTAATTCAGTCTTAAAATTGAAAAATTAAAACTGATTTAGTAAGTCAGCCATGTTGACAGTCTTTTTATTCTGGTTTAATGTATATGTCAGAGCTGTTAACGAAGACTAGTTCAGTAGAGCAAGCCTTATATGTGTTTTAGATAATTAAAGTAATTTTAAAAGGATAATTAAAAACTTTTTTTTTTTTTGCATGCTTAAAGGTGCAATCTTTATGATATATTCACATGACTCTTGTGTTAGGAATGGACAAGTATTAGGTCTCTAAATCCGTATTTAAAACAGCCAGCATCTCATTCCTCATAGTACTCTTTACTGCTATATATGCCGGTGACTGTGACAAGCTGTGGACTCAGAAAGTTGTTACTTGGCCAATGAACCACATGAACTTGTGGGTTCTGGTCTGAAGTTCTGTCTCTCAGTGGAGTTCAGAAACTACCATTTAAGTAATTTTTAACCACCTTTTGTAATATGGCTGACAAAACAGGGCACATTGCCCTTGCAATCTGAGTGTCTTAAGAAGAAATATCTTGAAAATATCTTGACAATCAGTATAACATTAGATCAGCAGTTATGCTATCTCAGAATTTTTGTGCTTGTTTTCTCAGAGCTAGCATGTGTGTTATTATCTGTTACTCCTATTTTTTCTATTATTCTGTTGTGTTGTTTTCTTCTATGGTTTCTTTTTAAATCTTATTTTTAGAATCTCATAAATGACTAGAAAATAAAAATAAGGAAGAAAAATGTCTCCCTGACACAGCTTATTAAGCTCCTTGGTGTATAAATCAAACCTATATCAGTAATTCTAAATATCTGTAGAATTTTTGTAGCAGATTAGGAATATGTTAGATTTCTTCTTGAACTTCTTGTTGATAATCTGTTTTGTTACATGAGTGATTTTGCTGGCACTCAAATTTGGTAGCATATTGCTAAATCAGAGTCTATAATGCAAGTCTGATAATTCTACACCTCTGTAAAGGTCTGTTTCGACAATGGAGCAGCAGAAATGGGAATTCTTCTGTTTTGCTTTCTGTGGTCTCTGCCACAACTGAGCACGCTGTTGAAAGTTACTGGCAAGCTTGCAATGTGTTCTGCGTAGATGTGGCAATATTCCCACTGATTACCCAGTGTCATCCTGTGAAAGCTTAGGACACGTTACAGAAATGTTAATTGTCATGGAAAATGTGGAGAGCTGAAATCCAGAACGTGCTTAAGGAGCATGCAGCAGGGCCCATGCCCTTCCAAAGCGTTGCTTCCTTGGACAGCTCCATACATCTCTCCTGATAGACATGGATTACTGACGTGCTACTGTGATAGAGTGGCAGACTTGTAACCTTAGGAAATCCCTTCTCAGCTCTCTTTAACCATGTTTCTATGGGGGAATATGCTCTGCTATAGGTCAGTTTTTGTCTTGGACAAATGAGGGACCTTAATTTGCAGTGAGAATTCACATGCTGAATATTTCCAACTGGTATAACTATGGCTGTTTCTTCTTAATTTATTTATTTGTATAGCAAGCTTTCATCCTCTTGAAGTATTTTCAGGTTCAGATAGATGGAAATATGCAGTCATGTTCTGGCATTTTGATTTAAATACCTGGGGAATGGAGGGCTTTCCAGTTCCTATCCATCTTTATTAAATTCTTGACTAGCTGTGGTGCAAAGGTCTATTAAGGTCATGGTTGTTCCTTAAGATGACTTGATACGGCTTATTTATTATCACCGTACTAATGGGTGTCCGGATGAGGGAACAGCCTTTCTTATCCCGTTTTTTAATATGTTCAAGAAATAAAACAGCTGAGAGAGGAGACATAAGGACAGTTGTTATGAAAATTTGTGAGCATCTCATTCAGCAACTGGAATTCATTTCCATGAAGAAGTCACTGCATTGGATTTCTTATATATTTTCCTGTATCTTCAAAAGTAGTAAGTTTAGTAAACAGCATTGAGTTATATAAAATGTTGCACTGAAGTATTGCTCTGAGTCATAGAGACAGAAATTCAATTTTTATGAGTTTTTCCCCCAAGTGGTATCTTTAACAAGGATCTGAAATACAGATAAGTGGCAAACGGTTCATGTGAAGTCGGCTTTAAAGCCAATGGCAAGAGAGGTATTTAAGTCCACTTACGAAGAAATTATTCTAAAAATCTTTATCTAGAGCAAATGATGCTCTAGATCACACACTCTATGTTGTGTGAAGTGGCTCAGTGTGGTCCTTGGACTGCTAGTTTATGGTGATCCAAACAATGATATTTTATTTTATAAGGAATATAGAATTGTTTCTTCAGTAGAGAAGAGAGGAAGAGTTTAGAGAAAGCATATACTGAAATCTGCCACTCTTTACCCCAAGTTAGGTTGATCTGTCTCATCTTCATCTCTTTTCCTCCCCATAGCTGTCAGCTACAGAGAAAAACATTTTTCTTTCTTATTTCCAAAAGTAGAATTGCATTATGGAAATTAGGTTTGGGAAGACTTGCAAATTTTGGAGAAATCTGGAATAATTTGTGAAGGAAATATTAGTCTGTAAAATCTAGTTGTGATAAACTTCTAAGAAAAAGCAGAAGATGGTGTAGATGCTATAATTCTTGATATCTAGATTAATGAACTGTTTAGAAATTGCTGTGAAAATCTGATAGTTTCTGGAAAATGGCTTGGGATAGACAATTTGCAACAAATACTTTGTTGCATTTGTGCGTTAGACCTTCAGTATTTAGTTATTAAATGGATGTTGGTTATGTTATATGTTGTGTTTTTAAGAAATAAATTTGTATTAGAGTTGCAGTTTAGATCATGAGTGTGCTCTTGAAGTGAAACTCTTGATCACCCCTTGTTACCACATGTTAATTCACCTCGTGGAGCCTCTTGGACTTCACTTCTTTCAGTAAAGTTGTTCTACAGGAATACAGTTAATGTTCTCTAGCTGCTGATGGGCACTCCGTCCCTGGGACAAGACTAAACCTATCATGAATAATATCCCCAAAATGCCTAAACTGTCAATACTGGGCCTTCTACACCAACTATTTTACTCTGTGAAACTTTTCTCACTGGGCTGCACTGCTTGCTAATACAGAGGTAGCAGAATTTTGTGTGGAGCTAGTACTGATCTCCCAGGCTAGCATGTGCAGACAAAACATCCTGTGTGAGAATCAAAAGAAAGTAGTGGATGATTAATAAAATCTTGAGAGATTGCATGTAAATGCTGTGGATAAGGTCAGGTGAAGGAAATAGTGAGGGATGCAGACATAAGAATTTGGATTGGCAAGGAAATGAAAGGTCCTTTGTCAAAAAGGGAAAGTGCCTCTCCCTTACCCTTTGCAAGCCTGGCACCAAAAGGGTTTTTGCTAGTGATGGTTGCGATTCCTAAACACGTACGTGGAGACAAACATACATGCATACATGTGCACCTATGTCAAGATGACAAAAAGGTTTTACATGTCAAATAGGGTGCACTTTACCTTGGTTTTCTTGGGTTTGCTTTCTGCAGTGTTACTGAACTGCCTCACTGAAAGGTCAGGTATGCACCAGTGCTGGTGCGTGGGAAGCGGTGAGATCTTGATAGTAAGATCAGTTCCATTGTTTTCTGAAACATCATCCTCAGTTGCTTTTGTTGTGCTGTAACTCCAAAAGCAAGGTGTGTGAAAATGTATTTGAGAGATTGCTGTGCTGATGTGGTAACTTCCAGGGAGTGAGTATTGTGCCTGTTTGCATCCATGCCAGGTCAGCCCCATCCCTGTGCCACGGATCAGAATTCTGTTGTTACTGTGATTGCACAAGAGTAACAGAAAGGGAAATCTGTTTATTTACTTGAGGCTTTATTAAAAGACATTAATTAATAACTAATTATGAAGCAGCATGAGCCAGGAGAGAATTTCTTACTCTTGTTCTTTTTTACTTTCTGACAGCTGTGTTGGGTCACAGGTGCAGGGGGAATAAAATGTAAAAGCATTCTTTGAAGTGTGTGGTGAGGTCCATGTCCCCTTTGTTTATTCAGGGTTGCTGAGTATAAAATTGGTTTTCATTTTGAGGGGAGAAATCCACCATGAGGAAAGCGTTTTACTTCATCATAAATGCTAACGTTTTTCCTCTCAATAGTTATTTGGATGGGAAAAAAATTAAGCAGCCCTCAGAGAAACTACTTTAAAAATTATTTTGTCTTATGTAAATTGCTGCCTTTCAAGGCTGTAAATATCTGAGTGACCTGATTTAAATATGGACCCTTATTGTTGGGTCTGTGGGATTAAGAGGAATCAGGACAGGTGCAGAGAGTTGCATGGGGACTTCTGGTTTGTTACAGTGGCTCTTATTCCTTGGGACAGAAATAACCCTCTTGATCATTTTATATGTATGTGTAAATCATAGCTGCCAGTACTTTGCATTGTTTGTATACACAAATACATGAAATGCAAAATATTGATAGCCATGATTTAAAACATTTTTGGTGGATTTTTGTTTTATTGAATTTGTGGCTGTAGTGAGTGTGTTTGCATGCCTGTGCAAGAATATTAGGTGCATATAGAATATATTTTATTTATATTTCTGTAGTTAAAACAGAACCAATGAGCAGCAGTGAGATTGCTACTACTACTACCACAGACGGGTCTTTAGACAATTTCTCAGGATCAGGTAAGGAATAATCAAAGATTTTAAGCTTAGCATTTTTTCATTTACTATTTGCTTATCCCATGTGGTTTAAACCTGTGCACAGCTGTTAAAAAGCCTTGTGCACTTTGCAGCTTATGCCTATTTCTGTTCATCTTACTCAGACAGCGTGAGGCAATAGGAGTTTTCCCCGATTAAGGAGCATTACAGCACCAGGCTTATTAATGTCCGTTGGTGTCTATGGTGAGAGTCTCACTAGGGAGTATTGTGGCCCAGAGGAATTACTCTTTTGTTTTCTGTGAGTAAATATACCTACCTCTGTGATTAGTTTTGTAATTGAGGGGTAGGTCTTCCTCATTTATCATTATTTATTATTATCAAGATATTCATCCTTTTATCAAGCTTTTTTTCTTCCTGGAAGCCAAACACATTTTAGCTTCTAACATACAGGAGACAAACACTGTGAGAAAATCCTAAGATGTTTGAACAGTTTTGCATGCGTATGGATTAACCATGGTATTTCTAGCACATTGTTTTTCTGGTGCAAATCAAATAAAAAAGGATCTAATGCTATGTCACGGGATTATATTTCCAGAGTAGCACAATTTGACATCTCGCAGGCTCCAAGTAGCCAACCCTTTCCTGGTCTTGTCACAGCCTCCGTTTTCTGCGCATGCTGTAGAGTATGAAAGTATCAAACAAAAAGAGTTTCTAGAGCATTTTAAATCTCTAAAAGAATAAAATGTAGTGTGTTTAATAGTTGCTACGTACATCTGTGGTGATCCGACTAAAGGTCGGACTGTCACATTTGACATATCTGCAGCCTCATAAGCCATGGAAAGAAAAGCTTTCAGGTGTGGGAGGCATGGAAAGAGATTCCCAACTTCCCTCCATGCTTCGCGAGCGCTCCCAGAGTGTAAAGATGATGGATTTTCCCCGTAGTTGGCCAGGAAAGGGGTAGCTGGTGAAGGGTAATTATCCGTGCTTTGTTTATTTCCAGGTACTTAGCAATAGGGCCTGTTGTTTCTCTGGCTGTCTGATTTTACAGTAGTCTCATAACCTGCTGCTGACCCCTTCCTGGCAAAGGCCTCGAAACCAGCCTGGGGACCTGGAGAAGGAATGGCACCCGAGCGGTAACCAGAGAGGGAAGGGCTCCCAAAAGCAAGGCCCAAAGCACTCTGGCACATCTGCCATGCTCTCAGCAGCGCCCAGAAATACCAAAATAAATTGAGATGGGTTGCCGTCAAGCTCTGTCAGCAGTGGGAGAGAAGCTCGCTATTTAGCCTGCGAGGCTTCAGTGTTTTGCTAAGAACACTTGCACATTGATCGTGACATCTTTATGCAATACTGACTATTTTGAAGGTCTGAAAACATTTTAGAAAGAAGATAAGATGAGGGAAGAGAGAAGGAAGTGTAATATGGTAATAGATCTTCTGGATTATGGAATTATTTTTTTTTTAAAAAGAAGCACGTGCTCTGAAGTTGGCCATATGTTTTTAATCGAGGCATGCATAAAGCTCCTTCATAAAATGTAGGTCTTAAAATTCTAGAAGTTAATAAAATGTTGCACTTGAGATATCAATAATCCTTTGAAAATATGAAGGGAAATGTTTCCATTAGGAAATAGGTTGTTTGCATTGAAAATGTTGTCGGTGTGTGAGCGAAGAATAAACTATTGCTAAGGAGTTGTACAAAGGGGCAATTTAGTATTTGAAATTCGTAATCAAGATTTTAATATTAAGCATTCTCATATAGTTGCTGATAAAATATTATTTTCCATCTAAGGTATCAATGATATTGGAATTTAATTAAAACCTTGTTAATACTCTGAAATTCTATTAGGAAAAAAAATATTTATCTTTGGTGTGTGTATTTACACTTCTGTGTGCTTTCTTTTCTCCTTGGTGCAGCAATTGGAAGCAGTGGTTTCAGCCCAAGACAAACACACCAGTTCTCCCCACCACAGATTTACCCTTCTAAGTATGATATCTTTTAAAAATAATAATAGTAGTAGTAGTAATAATAACTGAAATAGGCAGATTTTAACCTCATTTAAAATTATAATTGGGTCCATCTGTTAAATCATAATTTAAACTGCAGCAGCTTCTAGGAAAAAAAATACTTTTTTAATGCTAAGAACGTATTTGAAAAGTATTTGAAAAATTCTTATTTTACTTATACTTTTATTATTGGTTTCTTATTGTTGTTTTATTTTTATCTTACAGTTTCTGTTGTCTAGCTCAGCCTATGGTTATGTGTTAATGAAGTAGCAGGGTTATAATAAGGGTCAAAATAAGTACACGCATATCTGTCTAATGCAGCGTCTATCCTATTTTCTGTCATTTGTAATCAATAGCAGACCATACCCACATATTCTTCCTACCCCCTCTTCACAAACGATGGCTGCATATGGGCAGACACAGTTTACAACGGGGATGCAACAAGCTACAGCTTATGCCACCTACCCCCAGCCTGGCCAACCCTATGGAATCCCTTCATATGGTAAGAAATCATGTCCATGTTATTTGCTTCTAGAGGTAAATATTTTTTAGAACAAGATTACGTGACCCTTGCATCAGTGCTTAGTGGGACAGCTGTGCTCTTGAGCATTTCCTATGGAAGACTGGTAATTTCCCCATTGGAGTGAGTGATGCTTAATGTATATATGAAAGAGCTAAGAAGCTACACAAGAGGATAACTCTGTTTTGGGATCAAGGAGAGAGATTTTTTAGGTTTTTATTGCTGGTATATAGAAAACAAACAAAAAAACCCAAACCAAAACACAACAGCACTGAAATGGGAAAGGAGATTTGGGGACCTCCATTACACTGGCACAGCTCCTGGTGCCTTGCCGAGGAGCTCTGCTCTCTGGCAATGCAGTAGGGTAAGTCGGTACATAAAGGTCCGAATTTCATCTGATCCAGATTACTGGAACCCAAGTGAATCGGTGAAGCTGTGCTGAATTTCAGCAGGTGAAAAACTGATTCAGAAAGACCCCCACCAAAAAAAATCTCACTTTCAATGTTTTAAATCTCCCTGGAGGTGAAAATTGAGGTAAATTGCCACTAAAGCTCTGTCTGCCTGGTGAAGGAGGTGATAGTACTAAGTAGCAAATATTTAAAAAAAAATTTAATTTAAAAACAAGCTGCTGTGGGTGAGACCATTTTGCTGCCAGACTGTCTGCTGGCAGACCACATAGCAGTTCAGCAGTGAGGATGCATTATTAGAAAATAGGTCTTATATTCCTCTGGAGGAATATATTAAAAATATACAATCCACATACTTTTAGCAGTATATTTTGTAAAGAAACATTCAGGTTTTGTAAGTTTTATACCAAAAGAACAGAAGTTGCAGTACAAGCTCTGCCCCTTAAAATCCTTAAAACTTTTAAGTGCAAAACTGTTGAATTTTTCATCCTGAAATCCGCAAGCTGCAATCCACTGGGTCTCAAGGATATCCTACAGCAGATTATTGTGAACAGTAGGTACAAGAAATATATTATTATTTCCCCTTAATTAAAAAAAATGTGTTTCATTAATAGATCATCAATAATTATGATAGAAGGAAGCATTCTGCCTGTGGCTCCAGCCTTGATTACTTACTGCCAAAAAAATGGTTACAAACATGAATTGGATGTTTCAGTTGTCGTCTGAATCCACGTATTTTAAGCTTACACAAACAAAGTACTTTAATGATATTTAAACTACATTTTCAAGGCTAAGGAGTTGGACATTCTTCCCCACCACCACCACGAGCTCATGTTGCTGATGAGAGCTTGTCTGCCTTTTCCAGCTGGTTCAGGTGGTGTGATAACAGACGACCCCTTTTCCCACCATGCTCTTCTTGACCCGTTTCTCCTGTGGGCACCTCGTGTTTATACTTGGCTGGCTATAGTGGCTTGGGCAGCTCAAACAGTGACTTTTTTGTTTTTTGCTTGGTTCTTCTGGATGAAATCCTGACCTCCCTGAAGTCAGCTATAAAACTCTCACTGACTTTATCAAGGCCTTGATTTCACTACTTGAGTTTAGCCATCATGCTGTCATCAGAGCTCTACTTGAGAGTTGCTTTACATGGCAACTACTCGCTGGGGGTTAACATGCCTGCCTGCTCTTTTGTTTTAGTTTGTTTTTTTGCCCATGGCTAGGACTTTGGATAATTTTGCCTAGCATTTTACTTCGCAGAGCTGCTTTTGACTACTGAACCCCCTGGCTCCTGAGCCAAGTGGATTTTAATGTGTTTTGTTCTTTTCAGACAGTGCCTCATGACTGGGTCTAAGGTGCTCCTCACTGATGTACTTTATAGCAGTAATATTTAAAAGCAAATAACTATTAAAAAGTTTTAGGATCTAACACCATATATATTTTTGCATGTTTAAGGCATATCTTATAGTCCATGTTCCCAGAATAAATTACATGGGGAGCACTGGGATGCTCATTTGCAACAGACAAGAACTGAAGCCTTGTTTAGAGCCAAAATTCTCCTCTTGGGTCTGCAGCTTAGACCCTATGTACCATCTGCCTTGCCTTTCTCTCATCCAGGCAGTGAGCTTTCCAGCAGGTATAAAGAGAGGAGACTTATGATATATGTGAAAGGAAAAACTCTGAGTTGGAGTAGAGGGCTCTTTCTTTTTGTGTCTTTACTCTGGGGCTTACTGGAAAAAAAAGTATTTGTGAATTCACATATCAACATCCCTCAATTTTTCTCTCTAGGGCAGAGTTTGGGAAGGTGCTGTCTTGAATGCATCTCTGGCCTCTCTATTTTCCACTCCCCCACCTCCACCATGCTGCAGCCATGCAGGCAGGAAGGGGGGTGGAGGGGAATGCCACTGACAGCTGCCTCCCAGGGGCTCCTGGCTCTGGTTCATCTGCAAAGCCCCTGAGGAGGCTGGAGAATTTCCTGAAGCTCCCTCCTCCTGCCTGCTCCAGTACCAGCATCTAGCAAAGGCTTTGCTTACCAACTTCTTTTCTTTCCAGATACTGTCAGTCCCCTTATATTTTCTCGCTATCCCTTTCCACTTCCTTGCATACGTTAGACTTGGGAGAAGGAGAAGGGAGCATCAAGGTTTGATGAATGAAGGGCTTCTGGATGGCAGCAGGTGGGAAGAATAGGTCCCAGGAGATGAAAGGCTCTTCATAGCGTGAAGGTTTGCAAAAGGCCACGTCAGTGCCAAGTTGTCTTCACTCAAGTGGCATCATCCTGCCGCTGCCTTTGATTGTCTCCTCCTGCTCTGTCTGAGATGGAGAATTGAATCAGGCTGTTAAAGCTGGACTAGACATGTAACGCTTGATTTAGTTAAACTTTCTCTAAGCAATATTTGATCTGCATTTCAGAAGTCCTTAAACAGACAACAAATAGGGATCATTGATACCAAAACATCCATAGCAGGAATTTCCCTTTGGAAATGAGTTGTCAAATTCATCATTGGGTGTTGCTTAATTGTAACATGAAACAGAAGCAGCAAGTAAGCACCAGGGAAAAACAAGCAAACAGGGTTAGTCTGGCAGTTAGCAGGTCTGGCAGAAGGAATTAAGGGTAATTAATGAGAGCAGCTGAAAAATAATGATTTAAATGGCAGAAGAAAATATGCTGCCATTTGTATAGGGGGAGATAATGAAGTTTTGCAAACACAGTAACTTCTCAGCCCTCTCCGACTTTCAAACATTGTTGAATATTGTTTTTTTAAAAAAATCCAACCAAGAAATGGACTTAGATTAACAGTCATTTTCAAAGGAATGTTACTAATTCACACTTAGTTAATTCAGTTCAAATAACAGTGGTTTCTGAACAATGAGGTATCACTGAATGCCACTGTGAAACCTAAGAGTGTTGTATTACTTTTCCATTGCTTTGGCTATAATTATTTTTAAATGGTAGTTCATGTTGGGACAACCTTATAATTAAAACTAAGAGACAGAGGCTGAATTGTGTGCATCTCCTCAATGTTTCACTTGGTGATATTTACTTGCTTGTTGCTGTACAAATTGGAGGAAGAATCACTGAAATTGGGAGGCAAGTCATTCATTTAATTGGACTTTGGATTTTTTTTATTACTAAATCTGGAAATGCGAGGGTAATGTGATGTGTAATGGATTTCCCTGTCAATGCAGATTAATGACTCTCTGCTATGTTTTTCCCAGTTTGGGAGATTGTTTCAGGAATAGTTCCTGTCTATTAGGTGTTTATTTGTTAAAAGACTGAATGCCTCCTGTAGTGTTTAATTAGCTTTGAAAATCATCATTACACTTAATGCTGCTAGTTCTCTTTCTCTGCTTCTAATTCCTTAGAAAACCATTGCACTTGGAGCCATGTAATTTTCGTGTAGGAATATTATACAATGCAAATCTCAGTTATGTCATTAATAGCTGAATGGCAGGAGAGCTTGGCTATGCTATGCTTCATTAAAATCATATAAAGTTGCTAATCTACCTCTGTGAAATGTCATGAATATATGGAAAAGTTAGCCTCTGGCAGGAAAGGAAAAAAGGAATAATGCAACTTCCTGTTCATGTATAAATTTCTTTTGCAGTTATTGGAAACACAGTTTTGAATTTAACCTCTCCCTGGTGAACTTCAGTTTTATGTGTGCTTTTAGACTGCTCTTACCCTGTTCATTTGTGCATGCCCTTGGTATTGGTTTTCTCATGCATGCAATAGTACGTATATGTTAAAAGTGCTGTTAATTAAGTGATTTTATTTTCCATCCCTGTTTGAATATGAACAAATAGATTTGCTGTCACTAACTGATTTAGGTGCATTGTGGGCAGGCATCAAGACAGAAGGTGGATTGGCACAGTCACAGTCACCTGGACAGACAGGATTTCTAAGCTACGGTGCCAGCTTTAGCACACCTCAACCTGGACAGGCTCCCTATAGCTACCAGATGCAAGGTCTGTATAAACAGATGTTACCATTCATTAGATATAGTTAATGCTATGGGGTTTTTTTACCTCCTTATTTCTTTACATTCCTGGGATAAAAGTGAATGTTTGCTTGAGCCCTTACCTCTGATGTTATTGCAGTTGGAGCTGAAATGATGATTGCCTTTGCTGAGAAAAGCTCTCAGCAGTTTGCAAGATCCCTTGCTTAGTGACTTCACTAATTTTTAAATAGTGAAGTGTTGTAGTGTTACTACAGTAAAAATGCATCTCCGAATAGCAGTAATTTAAAAAAATAGTGAATGTGACAAAGTGACTCCTGGAAAATGTGTCAGGATTATGAATTTAGGAAGTGCCAAATATAATTTGGCACCTGGGTATGTTTGGGGAGGGAGAAGAAGATAAAAATACTTACTGCAGCTGTGTAGGTAGCTAAGCAATGATTGATGTCTGTTTCTTTGAAGTCTATTTAAAAGCTGTAAGTCCTTGTATGTACGGGTTATTATTATCAATTTTTTTTTGTAGCCTTACTTGCCTGCTTAGTTTACTTATATCTTTCCACCTTGTTCTCCCAATTCCTTTTTCCCCTTCTGTATCAGGAAGTTTCTGGGTGTACCTGATTCAGGTACTGATTCACTACTTTAAGGGATATTTAAAAAAACCCTTTGTTTACTACAGATAGCTAATTTTGGATGTCTGCTGCAGGACTTTTCACCCCTGAATTTGAAAGTTGAAATCAGGTGTGTTGCAGATTTTAGAATTATTGAAATTAGTAATCACTCACAGAATTGGACCACATTTTTAAAAAGTTTAGCATGTCTCTTTATTATTATCATGCTCCATTTAAATTCTACACCATCATGTAGACACTCCATGAATGTCTTGAGGCAGAAGTCTTTTCAGACACCAAGTGAATAAGGTTTTGCTTTTGTTTCATGGCTTTAAGGGTATATTGATCCAGTTCTTCACTCAGACGCTGAGAGGTGGTTTTTGTTTGGTTTTTTTAATCCTCTTTTGAGCTGCGTTGAGTAGCTCTGTAGGACAGAAGCGACCATCTGACATCTGAAGTATTGCTTACTTGTAGTGTCCTCTAACAAGAGGAAGACAGTATGAGAGTAATATGCAAACTTTCATCTACATGCTGAATAGTGGTGAACTTCTACTCATTGGAGTAAATATAACCATAACCAGGTTATTTGTTTTGCTTGCTGCAGATAGCCACGCTAAAAAAAACCCAAACAGACATACCTACCTCTGAAAAACACCCCTACCTTTTGTAGGAGAGAGCTCAGCTATGAGGAACTCCTGGATTGACATTCCAGCTTTTAAGGAACTGATAATTCATGGTCACTAGGAAACAGAGTTATTGAAAAATCATGTCTGTGTTGGCTATAATTTCTATTGCTGTAGTGCCTTCATGCCACAGTCATATATCGGGATCCTGTTGTGCTGACTTATACAGCCAAATGAAAATAATAGTCCCCATAGAAGCTAGAGGGTAAAATAAAACACACAGGCTTATTAGGGCCTAGTATAACAATAAAGGTGATATGGTTTAGGCATAATAAACAGTTGGCACCCCATATTGGTTATCTAACAGCTCTAAAGGTGGATTTTTTTGTAAGGTACAGAGCAGAGGGATGTCAATAAAAACGGATTTTTAGGGAGGACAATGAAGTAATTTTGCAGATGTCTATGGGAAACTCATTCGATGGAGGGAGGAAATGGGGAGCAGCGTGGAATAACATGAGAGAGCACTTGTTGGAAAACTTTAAGACTAAATAGTGAATTCTGGCATTAGTAGAGCAAGGCTAGGACTTAGGTCAGTGGACTACGTAGAAGTCCGTCATAAAGGGTATTGCTTTGTTTTCTGTGATATGCAAAATGTGTATAAGATCAGAATTGTCAAGGTCCTGAAAGGATGGCAGTTGTCAAGAAATGGAATGGTAAGATCTTGGAAAGCATTTCAACTGTACACGTTGAAAAGCAAGGATCTAAAAATATTCTGCTAAAAGAAATATATTAGAGATGACCCAGTTGTGAAGCTGTAACGAGGCAAGGGTCAGAAGCATTGATTTCATGATAATATTGTCTGCAGGGCTGAGGGAGGAGGGCGTCTTAGCCTGGGTTCTACTCCAGCTGTGCTATGCTTGGGCTGATAGCTGCCCGCCTGCAGAGCACAGCAGATTGCTGAGAGTCTGGCTTGAGTGGAAGAGCCACAGGTCATAGTGGGAGAGTCTGGGGGTCCCCGTGGTGTGTATGTCATTTCTGTTGTGCTCATGAACTGCATGGCATGTGGATGAGGAAAGAACTGGTCTCCTATAGAAAAGTTACAGACCATAAGAATGGAAATAAAGAGAATATTTCAAATGAAAATCTTGGTGGAGTTGTTAGAAGTTAAGTAGAAAAGAATCACTGCTGCACAGGTCTTTCTTATAGATAAATTTTGACTGTATATATCTATATTATACATGAGAATATATGTCTTTTTAGTGTTTTAATTAGGCTAACTTTTGAATATGAAACAACTTTAAATTGACTTAATTCTTCCTTTTGATTGAACAGATGTTAAAATTAAACAAGAACATTTGTTTCCCTTTCCTCATTTAATTTTGTAAGAGAACCTATTCATAGTTTCAACTATTATTTAAGAGCAAAATTGATTCCCTTGACAGAAGATGGGGGTTGTGCTGCTGCTGTTCAGTTGTTTGTGCAGAAACCTCCGGAGAGGGAAAAGAGTATTCTCCCTTTCGCCTCTAGCAGTATAAGGGCAGGCTGCAGCCTCAGCCTTGTCATAGCCTGCAATAGCCGTTCTTCATCTCCTGTGTGCGGCTGCTGAGCTGCTAAATGGAGATAATGGATTCCACAACCAACCTACTTCACAACCAAGCGTGTGCTTGGTGCCCCACTGGCATTCTTGCCTGCAGTAAAGGGCATTTCCTAGCAGCCTTGCAGTTGCCATGCTCCTGCTCCCTGGTTGGGGTTACCTGGGACTCGAAAGCTTTGGAGTTGTTCTGGTTCCTCTCCCAGGGGTGAATGTCTCCCTGCAATGTAAAGGCACTGCCTCGTGGTGCGTGTGCAGCCAATTAAACCCAGTGCTTTTCCTGACCTTGCTAAAATTACATCATGATTAGTCACTGAACAATAGCAGAGGGAGAGGCTGCCAACTTTTGAAAATGCTGAAGAAAATCACTGCCTGTGACTTCTTGCTAAGGTTATTCTAGTAATTGGATTTTTGTTTGTTACAAATTTATCATCCCTATAACGGAGGGGTGCGGAAGGGAGAGGGCGGGAAGAGGACCTAGGTGGTTCTACTGCCCCATCTCCTCCCTCTCCCTCACCCTTACTTTAATGTGTTCCTTAAGCTGTTTTTCATGTAAGTTGCTTCATAGATGTTGAAAGACCACTTAGATGACTAATGGCTGTGGGAATGGGCCGTTGTTCCTATATTGGCAGAGTTACAAGGGTTGCTCAGTGAGGGTAAATGGAGTGGAGAAGCTGGGGGAAACGCCAAGGAAAGCTCCATTTACAACTGTCTTCTTGCGTACCCTTTTGGTTGTGATAAAAGCGTGGCTTTTACCCTGCACCCAAGTATCCTACCGCTGGAAGGGTACTAGACCTGTGATGAACATTGTTTTAGTTACCAAGACTGTAATGTTTGAGGATATACTAACCAATTGGTTTGGGAATTCATCCATTAAAAAGTAAACGTTAAGGTATTCAGTTATTATTATACAGTATAAAAATATTGTGCTGGATGGCTAAGCAGTTACTAGGACAACAAGGGGGAGTTTGCCAAAGATTTTTAAACACTGTAAGCAAACGGAAGAAACCTTGAGTTTAAATAGCCCATATGGTCGTCTTTGGCTTTCCCAGGAGAGCTGCACTAAACTTCGGCCACATACATTGTACCCTGATGACAGGCATAGCCCGTGGCAAGGAGACTGAGCTAGGAAAGCAAATGGACTTCTGTGGCCAATACACAGGGGAGGACTCATCCTGCGCCTCGCGGCGGCACGGGGGCTCGCCCTGCGCCCTGGTCCCAGCAGGGTCCGGCCATTTTCTGACTCTGACTGGGATTCCCAGCTTTAATGTGGGTTCGCACTCTTTGCAAAATAGACCTTTGACCTGCAATTTACAGCTTTTATCACATTTTAAAGCTGCGTGGCTGGCCAACTTGGGGCAGTAAATCTTGTGCCTTTCATAGAGATTCTTATTTTTTTGTTTGTTTAGCTAAGGCAGGAACAGCAGCTCTATGCCGTGCCGAAGCTGATTATTTAAAAAGCAAATGGCAAGATTGGAGTATTTTAAAAACAACTTTAGGCCAGTAGTTCTGGGTGGCCCACAAAGCCATTTCTGAGAAACCTGCTTCATGTTTGTTACGGTCTAGGAGACCCCTACCCCTCCTCCATAGGAGCCAGCACTGACCATGAGATGAAAGAGAGAGATCTGTGGGTTAGTATGTGTGTGTCTTTGTCTGAGAGGGAGAGATGCTGGCTGGCATGTAATTACTTTTCTCATTTGCTCTTGCAAATTATTTGCCAAACTTTCTGTGGAAAGATAATGTATTTCTCAAAAAAAGATTTGGGGTTGTTTTGGTTTTTTTTTCTTCCTCTAACTATGAGAGGCTTTTTATATCTTTTTAGAATGGCTCAAACCATGCCCCTATAAAACCTGTGTTTGAATGTATTACTGCATCGCTCAGAAATAACTACAGAAATAGAAAGAGACACAGTGGCTTACATTCTCCTAGCCAAAGCACTCTTAGAAATAAAAAAGCGTTTCAAAATTTTGCAATTTAAAATATTTTTCAGCTGTATTTTGGCTGTGGGGTTTGTTATAATAAAAAAATAACATCTGTTTTCCAATTTTAAATTAAATTTGCAACATGTTTTTCTCATTAGTACTGTTTATCTGTACTATCTGCTAAACTTGGATGTCAACTCTTCTGCTGAAGTAATCTGGTTTTAGTTCACAGGATTAGTAGCTTCTATCAACAACCACAGAGCTTTTGCACTAATAGCAAATACAAGAGAAATGTTTGCAGTCATTATCACACGTTAAGTTTAAGCTTCATCTTTTACTCCCACTGCTGTTGGACTTCACATGTCCTACTTCGAGGCTTAACTTGTATGTGTTTGTGGTAACTTTTGCAATCAAAGCACAAAGCATTTAAATATTTTTCCTTCTGACTTCTTATAGCTAGGAACCCTACAGGTTTGGGGTTTTTTGTTTAAAAAAGTAAATAGCTCACAAGTGCCCTTTAGGGGCTGTGCTAAGCGTGCAGGACTGCCTGCATTCCTCGCTGTTTGGATTTGCAAGAAATCTCACTTTTCCTAGAGAGTAACCACTGCATAGGATTTGGTTGTTAATTGAGTTGTGTCAGGTACGTGAGAGGATCAGTGTATCTGTGTGTCTGGCTCCCTGCTGATTTCCATCCCTCCTTGCCTCCTTTGCTCACCTGCAAGCTTTTGCTCCCAAGGTCTCGGTATATCTTTGCACTAAGGGAGGTTTCAGTGTCGAGAGAGGCTGTGAACAACCTGTGCACTTTAATGCGGGCTCCTTGCTGGCTGGTGCTCTCCCACTGGACGAGTTCAATAGGTTGCTCCATTACAGACTTTCTAGTGGCTTATGTAGCTTCATCCTGTACATCCATATGTCTCAGCTGGTGGCTGTGTCACTCTCAGGTTATAACCAGCGAGGGCAAAACAGCTGAAAGGGGGTTGCTGCCCTTTTAGTCGAACAGCTTCTCAGGTTAGGTATTAAACAAGGGCTCCATCTGTCTATTTTTGGTGGTTCATGAGGGGAGGAGGGAGGTGAAGGCAGTAATTCAGTCTTTAGGCTAAATTCAATATTTGGTCTCCCTTCTCAGAGAGGTACTTTTTTTTTCCCTTGTATCATGCCCGGTAGACTCTGTCAAAAAAGAAAAAGGTTTGTGGCCCAAGGCTTGTCTACGATCAATTAGCAAATCCTAATGGCTTCATAGTTGGGCTGAGCTGTTTGGAGCAGGGAGTTACAGCTTTTGCTATTCCTTCAGGTGCTGAGGCTCAGGGAGGGGGGAGGACTCGGTTCTTGAAGGCAGTAGGAGAAACAGAGCCAGTGGGCTTCAGTGAGGGGAGACGGCATCTCTCAGGACAAGGCTCGCGGTTATTGTTCAACAAAAACTGGAAGTGAAGAAATGCAGTAATGAAACACAGGGTGTAAGAACGATGAATTATCACTTTCCCTATATTAATATGTTATAGAGCTGATGACAACCGAATTGGTCAACATATGGGAAATATTACAAATATGCCATATCCTTATGATATAATCTCATGATGGAAGTTATTTTCCAATACTGTGTTTTAGTAACTCACATAATTTTTCATTTCATTTCAGGCAGCAGTTTTACAACATCATCAGGACTGTATGCAGGAAATAATTCACTCACGAATTCTACTGGATTTAATAGTTCACAACAGGTAAATTTGCAAATACGAGTCAAGAAAACTTTATCAAACTTAGAATTACCATCCACAGAAAAAAATGTAACCCTTAAGTAATTTTTTTTAAATGAAATTAGCATAATTTCAAGTTAAACTAATGTTTATAAATGTTTTTCTGCAGTTCATCGTCTTCCAGTAGTAGGACTAATTGTGTAAGTTTGATGTTCTTATTCACACATCTTCAGTATTGTGCCTAATAAACTATTTGTATGAGAAGACATACTAAATTATGTGTAATTTAAATTTCATTTACTGCCTCACAGCTTTAGGCCCTACAGCATCCAGTCCAGGAAGCATACGTGCTGAAAGCCTGACATGTGTTTGTAGTTATATTTTGGAATTTATACTAAGAAGTAGCAAAACTTTCATGGGCTATTCGGTTGCTTTTTTGTCTTGCAGGAATATCCCTCTTATCCCAGTTTTGGCCAAGGCCAATATGCACAGTATTATAATAGCTCTCCATATCCTTCACATTACATGACAAACAGCAACACCAGCCCAACAACACCCTCCACAAATGCAACGTACCAGCTTCAAGAACCACCATCTGGCATCACCAGTCAAGCGGTTACAGATCCTGCAGCAGGTAATTACATGGATTTTATGGTCCCTATGAAGCATGTTTTTTGTAAGTTGAAAGAGGGTTGAATTGGATTTTGTGTGTGTGTGTGTGTAGTCATTGAATTATTTTTTTTGATTATTATTTCTTAATCCTGAGCCTGTGGCATGTCTTGCACAGGTTCAAAATAGACTAAAGAAAAAGCAGGATCAGTAAAAGTTTAAAGCTTGTATGAAATACAAGTTGTTTGTATTTATTTGTAAAATGCTAAAATGCTTGTGTTAAAAATTGCAGGATATGGAAAGGTCTTTAAACCAGAACCTGATGCTTTTAAGCTCTGTCTTCATTAAGATAAATTCCTTCGATTTTTTCCTAAGACTGAAATCAAGAGGCCTTCAGACCATAGCCCAACTGTCCACTTTAAAGAGAGCTTTTGTGTTTTTCACTTTTAGAGGACATAATAATGCTTGTAATGGGGAGTTGAAATTGCACAAGTGTTTCCATTTTAAGAAAAGATTTTCAGTGGTTTGTCCTTCTTCCCAGTCATTTTACCTTTCTTGCTGGAATTTGGCAGTCCTTTACTAGTTGAGATATTTTTTTCAACATTTATGCCAAACCGCTCCAGCTGTTTTTGGAAATGTGAGGTGAAAAATACTTTTCCCATTATTAAAAAAAAAAGAAATTACATTTTTTAACAGTTCAAACATGTCAGTACTTAGTAGATGGCAGAAGTTTGAAATCTGTCAGAAAGAAAGTCCAAGGTTGCAGATGTGTTTTGCAGTAATGTGGTAAGAAGCAGCTATGATTTGGCAATGTTATCAGACAGTTTTGTTTTAGAGTTTTGTTGGGGAGGTTGGTTTTAGTTTTCTAGAAGTACTTGGTGGGACTGATCTTGCATGAGCAATATGAGCTTTAATATTATTTGCTAGGATTCTCTTGCTTTTCTGCATGAGTGTGTACCTGAAGAAAATATATGCAGTATTGTCTCTTTTGATACATTTGCTGAAAGTAAGTAGGGAAGAAAATACAGCTGGTGTGTGTGTTTATATACATGAGTTCACATGTGTGTGCAATGTATTTGAGAAAGGAATATATATGAATGCACATTGGAGCGTGCAGATTTTGGAATATATGGGAGTGTATTGGAGTCTGCATAATTACTCTGCTTTCCACTTTGTTTTTTAACTTTTTGGTTTTGTTTTCTTGTGAGTTTTTTTGCTTTTCTTTTTAAATTGGAAGCAGTAAGTTCCTCTTACCTCCCAAAAACCAAATGTGATCAAGTTTTAGCTTTTATCAAGATACTAAACTTGAATTGTCGTATCATGTGGGTCTTGATCTTTTGCAAAATCTTTGCATATATTTTTTTAAAGTAGTTGATACTTCCTAAAAGCAGCACTAAACACATACGGAGAGAAGAAATACATTTTTTCCCAAGTTCAAACTTAGTGGCTTAAAGGCTGTCTTCCTATTTAAAAAAGCTTTCTGTACTCTGTAAGCCTGGACAGAACTTTTCTCTCAGTTCCTTTATAAGAAGTTTTTCTTCTCTCCCTCAAATCTTCCACACTCTTGTTAAGAATGTTTTTTCTAAAACATTGAAAGAACTTGGTGGGTCCTGCACTTTAGCCCTCTTCTAGTTTATGCTTTCGTGTATTGAAAGCTGTACATCCGTGGGTGTCCCACCACTGCTCCCTGAGACGTGTTCCTTGGTCATGTGCACATCTCTCTGGCATTGCTGGGACTGCAGTCTCTTTCCCCGAGATATTTGTGTTACCAATTTAACACTTCTGAAAAAGTTCCTTCAAATGGTTTGCAAATAACAAGTCTTAATGTAGGTATGGGTTATCTTGTGCTGGCTGCCTGTACCACAGGCAATGATATGTTTAGGAAAGTACCAGCTGTAGGCCATTCTCTATTAGGAGAGCTAATGGAAGCCTTCATTCACCAACATGGTCACATGGTATAGGGTTAGACCAAGATTTCTCAATTTATCTTTACACACTTGTTTTTATGCATTTAAGGTAGGATCAAGCCTATTTAGACTCCTTCTGTATTGAGTGGCAGAGAGATGAGTTTAGAGTTCAGTTTAATTACAGTCTTAATTCTGAGGTGCCAAAGCCTCTCCACTGGTATTACAGCAATTTAAGGTGGCTGGCATACCAGTGTTGGGTACTGTACCTCTTTAGTAGAATGGGCTCCAGCTGCTGAATTGCAGCTATTCTTACTGGATGTTGACATCTCTAGAGATCTTCTATATTTAAAAAAAACATGTAATCTGTGTGGTTCTGAACTATGCCAGCACAAGCACAGAATGGCCTTCAGACTTTACAGAGGCACCAGGATAATTTGACAGACAGAGGTGGTTCCTATGAATTTGGGCCAGTAAGTGAAACAGAAGAGTGTGGTAAGAAACATGTGAAAAGAGAGAAAGTAATTATGTGCTCTTGTGACATTTTTAGTAGAGTTTTGCAGACTCAGAAAGCTCAGATAATTTAACTTAAAATATGTTTAATTCCTTGTCTAAATATAAAGGAATCCTTTTATGGTTTCCCACAGTTCCTAGTTAAATATGCAAGTCTTTGCCATGCAACCCAAGCCCAGGGATTCTTGCAAAGAACCTGAGATTTTTCATGCTTAGTGTTTCTTTTTTCTCTTTCTTTTGTGGATCTGAAGAATTTATTGTACCTCAGTCATGACAAAGCCTTTTGATTGCACAGGGGTTGATAGTCCCCGTCTCCATAAATCAGACATACAAATCAATGTTATTTTCTTGTGAACAGAAGGCTGTATTTTTGCTGCTAATCAGAAAATTATTAAACAAGACAATAAATCTCAATACGACATTTCAAATTTTTAATGTCTGCTTTGCTTTGGATTTCATTGGAAATTTTGTTTCAGTTCAAAAGTAAGAATTTTCAAAGTATTTTTCCACTTGTAGAATTCAAACTTTTGCTTTACAATATAAAATGTTTTTCATCAGAATAACAACAGAATATTAGGTTCCTTCTGGGATGAGCTTTCAATCCATACATGAGTAGTTTATCCCAGGTATGAAGAGCAAGTTGCTGATTTTTCATGTGAGCTGTAGTATGTAAGAGAATTAATAATAATTAAAATTATAAAAAAATAATGAAAGCAGACTAGTGAGCAAAAATTCACTCTTCCTTCCAATACTCAAATTCAGTAGGTTCAGAGCGAGCAAAAGCAATATTTCATATGTTGCAAATAGGTAAGCTCTGCAGCTCCCTTGCTGCAGGATGTTGTGGTTGTAAAAAGTTTATTCCAGTTCAAGCATTGCTTAGACAAACTCGAAGGTTGTATTTACACAGATAATGAATTCAGTTCTAGAAATTCTTGACATAAAAAAATCACTGGAGCCAGTGGATGAATTAACACTGTGTGTATGTCTGTCCATTTTACTCTCTCTCACCTAGCCACCTGCTCTTGGCTGGTGCTGAAATGTATCCTGGATGGATGGAATATTGCCCTAATCCATTATGCCTGTCCTGATGTTCTAAAATAATTAGAGGAACATCCATAATGTGTTTTTCTAAGAGTTAATGTAGAAAATTACTACATTTTCTAAAGCTTTAATAATTTTCTCTTGCAGTTTTTCAACTCCATCACTGGTTGAAACTGGTAACAAAAAATTATAGATTTGTGCAAATTTTTGTTTAGAAATGCAGTCAACAAAAGCTGAATTTATCCTTTATTTCAGATGATGCTGTATTTATAATTTATTAAACAGTGTTTCACCCAAGAAAGACTTGCATTTACTTGCATTTCATCTCTTTCAGTTTTCTTGGTTTCTGCAATAAGTATGTTTAAAATATTACTGGAAGGTTTTTGGGTTTTTTGTTTTTTTTTTTCATATTACTCACATACTTCACAATGCAGATTAAAAACCCATAAGGGCTGTGCTAGGCAACAAAAATTGTTCTCAGCCATGGGTCACCATTTTACTCTTAAAGACTAAGCTTATTTTTCCTTGAACACTATATCACATTTAGTATTGCTAAAGGGAAAACTACTTTTACAATTTCTCCTTATTATGTTTCATAACAATAAATTGGAGACAGGAAAGTGAAACAGAACAAAGAGACTATGTAGTCAACTTTTCTCTAATACCAGTATGGAAACAAACACTGCCATATTCGTAGTACATATGTTCTAATGTTTGCTCTTTTTGAGAAATACAAAGGAAGAGTAAATCTATGTATACATTTATATAGGAAGGAAACACAATGAAAATTCTGTAAAAGCAGAAATGGGATTAGATGCAATAATGAATGGCTAAGTATGACACTGGTTTTGCTTTTCTGATGATGGTTGTTCTCCTGTTTTTATGTTAACAATATACAAATTTTAACTCCTTTGCATTGCATTCAACAACATACAGCCTGACTCACAGTCACAAGATATGCAGAGGCTAAGAACTTGATGCCCTTTTCAATAGTTTTTTTTAGTAGATAAACAGGAAGTTCATCATTGTTTTTAGCAGGATTAAAAGTAACAATAATTTCAAATTGTTTGAAACCATAAATAATGAGTAAGGAAGGAGTACCCACAGTGGAGAGATGTACTGCCCATTTGTACATACCAGTCCCTGCCCATTACGGGATTGCTTCATCTTTTTTTTTCTTCAACATTGAAAGCCAGAGAAAAAATTCTGGACCACTGCAGGGTTTGTTAATATAGTTATTGTCATACATACCTAATGTATACTGGTTTACATAATATACAGAATACTATATTTTGTAATTATTTCTAATGTACCATCTTGAATCAAAAAGTCACCCAAGTCTTGAAATAAATCAGCATTTTTGCCAATATTTTTAACAGATTATTGAGGGGTTCTGTCAAGTTCATAATAGTATGCTAGTAGTCCTCAATAGGCAAACATTAGATTCATTTTTCCGAGGGAGAAGATTTTGACATTTTGTCAAAACAGCACTAAAAATGTCCTTCTGTGATCCTGTCAGCAGGCATTAATTTATTTCTTGTAATACTTATTTAGTGCTTTTACTTAT